CTCTTGCAAAAAGTTTTCAATGCAGCATTAACACACATACTGGTTTTACTGGAAATTAGACTGTCAGCTTTAGTGTAGCATACGGGAATTTGTTGTACCAACAGTTAGTTATTTACAGGCATGAAATTTTATGCCTAAGGCTAGCCTCTGCCAAGCAGTAAGGGTTTGCACATATGGTGCAGATTTCCTACAAATAAGGAACTTAGGTGAAAGAGCAGAGCACTGGAAGGTTGCGTACAAGTCTGATAGTACCTTGAAGAGTTGTAATTTCTCCTTGCTTATGCCCTCTTGGAGATGTACAGCAATGCACTACCTCTAAACTTTCCCTACATGTGTCCCATAGAAAATAACTTTTTGCAGAATTAAATTAGCACTGTTACAGTTCATCTTCCAGGATGTAATAGGATACATAAGGAACCTGTTTCTGACCTCCAGCTGAGGCAGTTCTGTACTTTCAGTATCAATGAAACCTATTCCAATCCGCTAGCTGCTTCTTTGTGGAGTGCTCTTTTGCAGTGACCCTGAAATATCTGATTATGTAAAATAGTTAAAAATAGCTATGAGTTAAGAGCACTTAAACCTTTTCATACTCTTCAGAGTAATTTAGAAAACCTGACAGGGCTTATCATTCTCTTCTGAGCAGTATGATCTTTAACACTGTTGGCAGTGGAGTACCAGGTAGACCAAGGGATGAGGAGTACATACAAAATAACCTGTTGAAATAAAAATACATTAAGAAAAAGGCTTGGGCGTCGTTCAGTAATGACCTTCATCAGCTGAAATGCTTTTTGTATTTTAAGTGAATTAATGAGCTATAATTAGTAGTGATCTTGGAGATGGTGATCAGAGAAGGCATTTTGCATAATGCAAACAGTACACACAAACGGAAGTACTGTCTGTCTGAAACAATCAGACAAGGTCCCTTTTATCATAATTAAATGTTAACACCTTCCTTGCTTTCTAAAACGTGTTTTGCACTTTACACTTTGATGTCCTCCCATGCCACCACCCGGTCACTATTTATGATACAGTCACATGTGTCGTAACAATGGAGGTTTTGAAAATGTTTTACCCGACTTTTAACAGATGGATGTTAATGGGATGTTTATTTACAGAATAAAATTAAATCAAAGCTGAATCTTAGTGCACAGTTTGCACAATCAGCTTTGTTCTGAGCTGGTGAGCTGTTTTTCCCAGAACTAGGGATCCTTCGGTCACAGCTGCATCTAAAAAACAGCCACAGAGAACGGAGCTTAAACAATTTCCTAAAGCTAGAAGTCTTGATAAGAATCTATTATTGCATATTAGAATCCCATAATTTCTCCAGACACTGCCCTAAGATCAAAGATGTATGTTAGAGCTTTGGCATAGTCCATGATCAAAAGAAAGAGGTTCAATTTGCATTTAGAAAACATTTCCATCAACTGTATTTTTCTGAAAATTTGAAAGTTTCATGATTTTACCTTTTGCACCTAAAAGAACAAAAAATTATTAACCCAGAACCATAGAAAGCCTGAAAAGATAGAAGATGAGGGAAAGCCTCTGGCAAGGCTGCCTTCCTCCATCATTTGCAGAAGCCACCTCAAGTGGCTACAGGTGTCAGTTACCACTTTCATTTAAGTGCCTCCACCCCCATGTAGATAGGATGAGCATTGCTTCAGAGAATGGTAGTGTTCTGAAGCTGTTTGTTAGCTTTGAAATCAGCTAATGACCTCCATAGGAAACATTTCTTCACTCGCCTTATCTGAAGAGTTGCTTCTCCTCTTCTTCACACCTCACTGCATGAATATTGTGAGTATTCTGAGCTTAAATGCGAATGTCAATAAAAGATGACTTGTCCTGTTTCAGCTCAAAGGTTTACTGAACAACTTCCCCCATACCCCGCATTTAAAAGTATGCTGATGGCTAATTCTGTGCCGAACTGGAACTGACACTGGAAGACCAAACTGGGCTGCTGAGAACCCCAACATACAGCCTGCACCATCATTGAGAGCATGGGTTTGGCCAGTGCCACAGCTTCTGAAGAACACCCCTGACTTCATGAAATCACAGGCAAAACTCTATTAAAACAGTCTTGAGCAGTTAACAGGAGCAAACCAGAGCTCAAGGAAGCTCAAAGCACTTTGAAAAAATTAGTAAATTACAATTTAGGGATGGGAGGGTGGGGTGGGATTGCTAAGATAAGCACAAAAGGCCAGGCCAGGGTTATATGAAGACACTACAAAACCAGCTATATTAGACTGCCTAATAAGAAAGAATGGGAAAGTCAGCATTTGCACGGAACCCAGCTACAGGCAATAATCCAATTTGCAGGGAAGTAAGAGGTTGATGGTGACCTTGCCAAAAAAATAGCTTTCCAAAAATAATACCGACAAATGAGTAGTGCAAAAATAAGGACCTAGTCAGAAACAATAAGAAGGAGAGAGCCAGAAAGTTTGTCTGTCTGCAAAAAATAAATTATGAACTATAAGAATGACAACCATACATTCCAATCGATAATAACTATTCATTTCCAGGGACTTGCAAATGACCAGGCTAGGAGAAAAAAATTTCAACTTACCCCCTTTTCTCCCAAACCTGCCTAAATGTTATGGTAACTGTAAATACCTACTGCTGCCATTTGTACTTTAAATAGACTGCAAAAGCTTTGAGGCCAGCCCTCCTCACCAGTACCCACTCTGGATGGAGACCTATGTGATGGTCCCCACTGAAGTGGTTAACGCCACTCACTGGGAGAAAGGAACAAAGCAGAGAACGGGAAGTGCTTGGGACTGTCCTTTTGCAGTTCTGTGTTACCATGCAGGCAACTCAGTCAGATCTCACTATCTGTGCCCTCAACATTGAGTAACAGATCAGCAATAGTCATGTAGACCAAACAATCCTCATGATCATCTGCCTTTCTACCACCACCCAGAAGTGATCTTCCACTGTTGTCACCAAACCTGTCCAGCTTGTAACCGAATAAGTGCAGACTGGAGACTTGGTACCTTCTGGGATTATGAGAATTTGTTTATCACACAGTCCTCTGCAAGACTAAGCACTGGGCAGTCATTATGGACATTGTTATCTCAGCACCTGACAGACTTCAGAAACCATAAGCACATGAGTCAATTCAACTTCTTCATAAGACATGCCAAAAAACACATACACTAGGTGTAGACTTTCTATTACCAGGAATATCAAAGATCCAAAGCAGTGATCAAAGCATGAAGGGCTCACAAAACCTAATTCCCTAGAGGCACATCATTAACATTCGGGAGAAGTAGCGTGTTCCACTGAGGCTCCTACATGTGCTCCTGACAGTTAAGCTCTGCCCAAAGTAACTCAATTTAATTCACAAAGTAATAATTTAATTCACAATGGAGATATCTGAGTCAGCTGCTTAATGAAGGCATCTCACAGAGAGTGAAGGCAGGGACTGGGACTGGCAGCACATGCTCCTGAGTCTGTGCCACTACACCAGCTGCTGAAAAACCTCCTCTGCTCAGACCACCAAGCTCCTTACTCAGAGAGCACGGTATGTCCCCTCTAACTCAGAGAGCTCCAAACTGAATGTCGAAGTTGGAATTAATTGCCCCCAAAGCAATTATAGAGGCAACAGAGCAGCATCTTGAAGACCTAACAGAAGAGGAAAATACCCCTTGTATTAAGTCTCTGAAGTAAAGAGTCATCACGGGTATTTGTCCTGGTGTTGTCTCAGTGAAATACAAGGTGAAAGAGAATTCATCCTTTAGGTAGTTTGGTGCCACATCACTTAAGACACCTATAAACTAGAGTGACAACCTGTTTCTTGGGTCCTGTTGCAAGAGGTAAACCTCACCAAGCTTTACAATAATGCTCCTACAATTGCTCTGCAGAAGTCTCCTTGTGCCTGTCTTGTTAGATTACCTAAAGATTCCTGTATTCTGCCTGAAAGGTTGCAACAAATTGCAGAAAGACAGCTCAGACTCACAAAGCTGCCCAGGGGCTTCTGCTGTGCAGAGTCAGGGCATTGCCCTTTGCATGCCCTGTGGTACCACTAGAAATATCAGTGTTTCTCCAGGCTAGAAAGCTGTTAGCTCCATAAGTGCACATGAATTTTTGCAGATAATGGTACATTTGATCCCTGGCTACAAAGAAGACTTGGTCTAAAAAGACCACCAAAGTCTACAGGAATTTTCTTTTAGCAGTGAGCCATAAATAAAACACTAAGCAGTCTTTCCTATACACACTGCATCCTAAAAGTGTTGTCTATCAGCAAATAATCTCCTCACTTGAAATCAGTAAGATTATTCAAGTGTACCAAAACAAAACAATTTGAGAAGAATTAAGCCCAATTAAGGTACAAAACAATTAAAGCAATTTACAAATAACCAAGGCAAAAGAGGACATGCTGTTCTGGTGGGAGACGTTTGCTTTATGGTTCTATTATACTCTGAGGCAAGATACGGATTCTTTCCTGAGGAAGAGCTTTAAACAAGGGAAAGATATAATTTAAGTGGGAATATGGGACTGGGAAAAGGAGACAGCTAGAATGTATATGTACACATATATGTGTATATATAGCACATATAATGTGGTTTTCTGTGTCCCATTGTCTTTCATGGGCCTGTCTCAAGTGGGAGACTACATTTTCCATGGTCCACTGCTTGCCTTATATGAAATAGAGAAGGCTTGTGTGTGTCAGAAGACACAGTTCAGCCACAGAAATTGGCCAGCCACAAAAAAGGAGGAGACCACCAGCATCCAAATTTAGTTCACAGCTGGGACGCTCGTTTTCAGGAAGGGCACATCCCTCTAAAATATATGGCCAATATAAAGTACCTCAATTACAGTGCAAAAAGCATTGGCTTTTTAAAATCTAGACCTTATTATAGAAAACATAAAAAAAAAAATGGTGACAATTGTTTTCCTGACACTAGGCGAATTCATGGCAGTCACCCACACTGTAGAATCAGAAGGTGAAATACTTTTAAGTAATGTAAGAAAGTTTCAGAATGACACAATGTACCCCAGGTGTCTTCAGTCTTTAATGGGATTTTATTGGGTTCCCTGGAGCAAGAAGAGAAGCTTTCCGGGAAATGGAACTAGGAGGTCTTAGCTTCACATCTCTCCAAACTCAGGTGCCAGGTTCAGTCCTGCTTCTTCATACACTGGGCAAGTGATGGCAGTGAGCTCCTTTTCCAACATTTCCATCTGAGCCGTAATGTCTGACACAGTGTTTTTCACAGCATTCAGCTGCAGCTTCAGTTTATTGTAATCTTCTTGGAAGGCTCTGTCCACATCATAGAGGATGGGACAGCCCTGTTTCTCCCCAGTAATATGACGGTTCACTTTCAGGAAAATGTCGAGGAGCTCGTGTAAGTCCTGAAGGGCCTGGAGGATTTCATACTCGCTGTGCATGCTTGGGGCAGACTTGGTCTTACCCTGGGTTGCAGTGGGTTTTTTCTTTTTAGCTCCGTGCTCCTGTTCGGGGGCTTGGCCAGGGTTACCTTCTTCCCCAGCTGTGATTGTGCCAGTGTCCTTCTGAAGATCTGAGCTGGTATCTTTGCTATCTTCATTGATTGTGATGGTGTTGGTGTCCTTCTGAGGCTCTGAGCTGCCATCTTTGCTCTCTTCATGAACTATGGTGGTGCCAGTGTCCTGAAGATCTGAGCTGACATCTTTGCTCTCTGTGATGGCTTTTTGGTCTTTCCAGGAGATGTGGACTCTTCTGTCATCCTGCTGGAAATCCCCTAAGATTTTTTTCTTTTCCTGGAATGCCTGGAGGGTTTTGTTGCTTTTGCTGAGCTGAACGCTTATATTCCTCTTGTGGAAGAATGGGAATGGCTTTTTTTCCTTCTGGTTGCTTTGCTGAATGGCATCACTGCAAATAACCTGGACAGCTTTGTTCTGTGACTGCTGACATTGTAGAGCCTTGTTTTCCTCCCAGAGCATCCTGTTTTCTATACGGAGGACTTGGTTTTCCTCCCAGAGTGCTCTGTTCTCCTCCCAGATACTCCACTCATTCTGTGCCTTCTTCCTAAAGACTTTCTGGGAAGGAATCGATGGCTGGCAGCAGATCGCATTCACCCATTTACCATCAACAAAGACAAACATATCATCCCTCACTTTCATCCATGGGGCAATGCATTCCACTTCAGGCTCTGCATGCTGCATGCTTTGGTTCATCAGATCAAAAGCAGACAGGGCCTATTCTTTACTAAATTGAGGAGGACTGTGTGAAAAGACTTCTTCCAGGACTTCCAGGACTCCTCTGGCAAGGAGTAGGTGACACAGTGTGGTTGGACAAGTGTGATCAGGGCTGAAAGAAAAAGGAACACAAATGCACAGCGTTACTGACAAAATTCAAGTTCAAAATTAAAGTACACCAACAAGTAAATCAGTTCCCACAGTCGGCTGTGTCGCCTCTTTGACTCTGAAAGGAATACATAAGAAACTTACTTTACAAAAGGTGAGAAAATTGGCATTGGTAGATAAAGCAGCTCTAAGGCAGCACCACAAGCTTTGGGATAAAACCCTGGACTCTTATCCCTCTACCTCATTTTTACAGACATGTGAAGGAGTAAAATGTGAGAATTTCATGCACCTCAGAATAGCCTGTTCCTAAATGATTGGTAGGCGCATGAATGAAAATCTGTTATGAAGCTGAAACCAACTTTTCAAAGCAAAATATTTTTCAAGGATCACAGGGTAAAACTGGCCTCAAGAACAGCTTTTTCTTATTGATTCTCAGTAGTAGCCCGTCTTAACAGCATACCACAGAAATACAGTGGCGGTTGTGCTTTTTTGATCTTAAAATCCACAGAACTGTAAACAGGAAGAGCACTGAGTGTCACAAGATGCACAAATAATTAAAACTCCAAACCACAGCCCTGGGACACTGGGACCAGGGAGAGCTCTGTTGCTCTTTGCATGTTTTTCTGACAACAAAACCATGGTCACCATGGTCCAAAAACTGTCACAACCCACAGATAATTCCCCATTTTTCTTTCTCATCTATCCCATCTCTCTTCTCTTTATATCCTTTGATAGCTCCATTACTTTTCTTGCTTTCTAGCCTTGCAGTAGTGATTGCTCATATCTTTCCTACTGCTTCTTTTTTCACATCATTGGAAAACCCATCTCTTTAAAATCCATTCTGTGGGGCCATACCTCCAATGCTTTCTATTTTAGTCACAAAAAACCCAGACTTAGCTGCACAACACTGTTCCCTCCTTCCTCCTACATGAAATATTATGGCTTATATCACCTTCTGAACATGAGTAAACCTGAGCAAATGAAATATTTCAGGGGGTTTTTACATTAACAAAAACCAAGCAACCAAAAAAGAAAAACAGAAAAAAAAATTGTGCAGAAGAAAATCTTATTTTCTTCAGTATTTATCAAAACTAAATGGGTGTGACTTTCATGGTGAAGTCATTTGAACTGAGGTTGAACTATTTTTATAACCAATTTTTTTTTAATTCCTCGGGTTTCTGTGCAGTGTTTCTATGTACAGGGTTTCTAAGTACAAATGTGCTTTTTTCTAGTTAAAAAAAAAAGTTGGCTGTCAAATTTCACCCTGGTCTACTTCTCTCTGAGGTCCCACCAGCCTCATTTTGCCCCTGTATCCCTGCCCCATTCATTAGGCACAGAGTGACCACCATGCACAAGCTCCTTACACCCTCCAGCTCTGCCATAGTGTTGTGCACCCTCCCCATCTTATTTTTGCCCTCTCCTTTCCAAAACCTTCTGCTTGTCCCTTTCCCTGCGATCTCCAACATGCAGCACTGCACCTCTGGGCTCCTCCAAGTTACTTCTGAGAACCAGTATCCATAGCTCCTTCATTCACCCCCTTCCCAGGCTTGTCCAAAAGCTCAGAGAATTACTGTTTGCATTTAAAATCCAAAATCCCTTAATGCAGGGAAAAGCAATTGCAGTACAGGTCTGCTTGCAGTAACACTTGATTTTTTTGCAATAGGATCTCTGTTTGACTTTCAGGGCTGTCTTCCACATCACTAGCTGGTTTATCTCACATCAGACTTGTGGTTTTGTTCCTCTGCTAAAAGGGATTTCCTCCAAAACTCCCAGTTCAGGAGGTTTAGGTCTACACTTACACCATGTTCAGAGCCATATATCACTCCTTTCCTTGCACCCACTCCCCTGCAGCGTTTCCAATGTATCCCGTTCCCTTGGAGTGTCAAGTCCTGTCATTTCTACCAACAGCCCCAAGGTGGGGAGGTAAATCAGCTCAGGGATCACAAACCTCTATGTATCCAGAGGAGGAGTAGAAAACATCCAGCATCATAAGCCCAGACCCACCTGCCACTGCATACCATGGGCAAGAAGCTAGAGTTGCTAAAGTCACATTCAAAGTGTTTAGGTGGCATGTTTTCAAGATAAACAGAGATGTATAATATATACAGCATTGAAGGACATTATCTTGGGGACAATTAAACTTGACAGCGGCTCTGTCAGCTCTTTTGCACTGCAGGGGAGACATCAACCCAGGCTTTGGAGAGATGCTTCAAGTTCTCCCACATCATTTACCCCTCATCTCTGAAGGAAACAACCCTGGAAGATGCTGGACAGCTGGGGTGGGTGGTCAGGACAGCTGCCTGAGGGGGAAACCACATGAGACTGAGCTGGGATGGGTAATTCAGCAGCGCTAAAGTAAGCGGCTGCTGTGTGCTCACCTGCTCAGCCGGGGCGATGGTCTTCCTGCTGCCTGCACCGCTGCCAAGCAGCCCGGTCTGAGGTCCTGCTTCTGCTGGGGTGTCTGGGTGCAGCTGGGCTGTGCAGCTGCGGATAGAAGGGACCCACTGTTGATGCAAGTGCTCTAGAACCAGCCCCCTGACACCTCTCCCCGGGGCTGGGAGCTCCTGAACACCCTCCTTGCACTTTTATATTCCCTCCCTGCTGGCCTCCCAGGGTTGACTTTGATTTTTCCCAGCATTGCCCTTTTTTTTGTTGTTTTGTTGTTTTTTTCCATGGAAATGACTTTTCTACTAGCTCAGCTCTCATGCCCTTTCCTGATCCCAGACTTCCCGATCTGCCTTTGTTGCTTATAACTGAGAGCAGTTTGGGTGCATCCTTTCTCTATCACACCCTCTTGAAACAAACTGTGTTTTCATTGCGAATCTTCAAATTATGTTTGTTGCTGGACTGATTCAGATACATTCAAAAATCACTTCCTTGTATGAGCTGTGAGACTTGAAGTTATTTTCTAAGGACAACATGAGTTTGAAGTTTTTCTTTGACTATAAGTACAAGAGCAGTATATCACTGAACCCTATTAAGAAGAAAATAGAATATACGGGACATTCATGCATTACAAGTTTAGATATTATTTGTAGCAACTATTCCCACTTCCATGTCTTTACATTACTAATGATCTCATTCTCTTTCTTATTTGCTTCATCTTTCAGATGTGATTTTTTTTCCTCATCAGGGCTCTTGAATAATAAATACAGCAGTTAATTTTGTATCCAGTGAAAATTACCAACTTGGCATCAGCCCCAAGGTGACTGCTATTGCTTTAGAAAGTTGGAGGTGCAGTTCAGCTTTGGTGTTAAAGATGATAAACTCTTGTATAAAATTCTCCTCTGCAATTTCTCCCTTGCTTATATTTAATCTTAGACAAAAAATAAAAACATCACAGGTTACTATGGCAACTCCTCAGGGAGCATTCTCCTTTATTCAAGCTCCAGGATGCTGCACAGGAAAATAGGAAAATGTCCTCAAAAGAGAAAGGAAAAGATTTTATCATGAGGTACTTGTGCTTGGTTTGCCATCAAATGGGAATTTAAGGATGCAGCCAGTTTTTGGGAGAGGTGACTGAAATGGCTGATCTGAACTTCTGAGGCTTTGGACCACTGCAACAGACCTTTGATAAACAACTTAAGGTCCAAGAGCTGGCTGGAAAGTGAGTTAATAGAGGCAAGTGCAACATAAGACTGATCAACAGACAAAGCCAGCTTAATAGAGCTGCTGAGAAATAGGTTAACAGTGTACTTTTGCCTTTTCTTATGCAGTTATTTTCATTAAGGCTGAACAGAGTTATTCTGGCAAGTCATTTATTTGCTGAAAATTAAGACTTCAAATACCAATATGTTTGGATCAGATTTAGTGAACATGATCAGATGTGTGTACGTGTCCAGCAGAACTGGAAATGCTGCAACAGCTCACTGCAGAATTTTTATAGCAGCGACACTGATTTCTGAGCTGGACTCCCAAAAGGACCAAGATGTCATTCACAGGATTACAAAGGCAGAAATAATGCTGAGTGTGTTCCCCTCCCTGCCAAGTGACAAGTAACCCCTGCTCTGTAAGAAGGGTTTGAACTAACTTCCTAGCTGAGTGCTTTGTCCACATCTTCACACTACTCTTTCACTATACAAAGAAATAAATATTAATCGGAACCAAAGCCATATTCCCCATTCTACCTGCACCAGGCTGTTCAGCTGACCTTGCTGCCCTTGCTCCCAGAGGTTATCTGTTTCTGGAACAGAACCAGTGGCAGGGAGTGGATGATCCCACACACACTCCTGCAATATTCTCCCGTTTGGAAACGTCCCTCCCTGCTGGGCTGCAAGAAGTCACCATCCAGTGACGGGTTGGAAGGGCAAAGTGCAGGGGGAGAGCAAAGTCTGAGCTGCTGCCATGAAGATCTTCTGAGAAGGACCCTGGAGACTCTACCCCGGCCTCCTTCCCATTGGGAATGATGGCATGTACAAACAGTAAAGTTCAGCCTTTTCCTTCATTTACTTTTGGGTTTAGAAGGCCTGTTAAAGTGCTTACAATCAAAATAATCTGGATTTTCTTTTTCATTTATTTATTTATTTATTTAGTAAAGGTGTGTTTCTTTGAATTTGGATCATCTTTTTCTTTTTTATGAGTGTCTTATAGTCCCAGCTCTTTATTTGATAGCACCAAAGGCATCCACTGCCAATTTCTACCACCCCAAACACATTGGTGCTTCTGAAATGCCAGTTTCTGTTCTTCTCAGAACAAGCTGCTCTCACTGCACACTCATCCACTGCTCTCCAGGGCATTAAGCCTGGATGCAAATCCTACTGAGTCACTGAAAAGATTATTGCATATTTCAGTGATCTTGAATATCCTCCTGATCTATCTCCTGATCTCAGTGACTGCCTGGGAAGTAAAAACAATGTTTTCCTAGGGTTTAAGGCAATTAAGTGTCTGGAAGGAGAGTTGGTGATATCTCAGCATCATGTTGTGCCTAGGAGCAGATGAGTGCACTTGTTCAGCAGTGTGGAAATCAGTAATGAAAACCTCCAGAGCAGGTTCTTTTCAGACAGTTAAATGGCTTGAGGGACACACTGATGTCACCATCTATGTGGACTAATTGTCCTTCCAGGGACACCATCACAGCACTGCTGCCAGTGTGCCTCAGTGTAACCCTCACACATGCAATGCTGTGCAAAACACCAAACTACATACACATGCCAGCACCAGTCAGGATGCTTTGGTCAGCTGAGAGCTGAAATGGAAGATGGAAATACTTACTTTCATACCTTGCCTCTGGTCCTAATTCCACTTTAGATGTGGGGTAAATCATCTGTCCGCATTTCCTTGTGTTCCCGGTGATGCTGGGATACTGACTCTGTGACACAAGCTGTTAAGAGAGATTTATTCTTACACTTAAGTGCTTTGAACATGAACAGCACTACAGTAAAGAAGTCTTATGTTTCACTCTTATTTATCCCTATGTTAGTAATGCACACATCGTTTACAAGCTGAAGCAATCCATTTGACTTTTACATGTAAGTGACATCTTTCAGAGGCTTTGTGTTGTTCCACCTCAGATCTCATTCCTACCTTGCTTTCATTCTCCTTCAGCTATGAATATTTTTACAAACGTATTGAAACCATGTGCAGACTCTTGGTCAACTCTAAGCCATTGCCTGTCAATGTCCTTTGAGTTGTGCTTCTGTGATACCACTTGTGAGCCTTGCCACAAAATACAGCCCAATTACTGTGTCAGTCTCCTACTTCTGTCTCATTGAACTTTACAGAGCACAGTGTTACTGAAACTGCCCTTTAGTTGTTTATTGTTGAGAAAATACTAGAAGTAGTGATGATTGGTGCACTTGCTTTTGTTGTGAGGGCAGAGGCATGCTCACCAAGGGTGGTGGAGTGGCAGAGCTGACATTGCACCCAAAGGAGGTCTTTGGTCTCACCTTATACCAGGACAATTCAGATGGGTACGGTCACCTGAAAGTGCCATGTGTGACCATGGGGTACCCAGTGTGGCCTCCAGGAGCCACCCCAAGAGGCAGACCTGCCATCAGGCTGTGTCAAACCCACTGGCCCTGGTCTCTGATACCTACAAACCCCAAACAGCAACTGGGATTGGTGTTCAGGTAACAGACTTGAGCCTTTGGTGGCTTGTCAGTCAGGTGATGCTTTGTCCCTCATTACTGCACTGATCAGGTCTTGCTGACTGCAAGACAGCTTAAACATTGTCTTGTAGGTATCACATGTAGACATCTCAAAGCAGTTGTCTACGGTTTGGAGGTAAATCCTCTCTGGCCCACAGTGCTGTTGGACATGATGTGCCACCTCCTGAGGACACCGCAGTGACCACTCAGGAATCTGCAGTTGTTAACCTCCTTAATTAGGTGGCTAAAAGAGAGCCTCACACCCTAGCAGAGCCCTCCAGCTCAGCTTGATTCACATGTGCATCCTGCAAGGGAAGGTGATGCTGCCAAGCCAACAACTACTGCATGGTCTGGGACACCTAAATGGGGTCAGCTGGACAGAGCTGAAAGAGTCATGTTGAAAATAAAAGCCCTCTTCTCAGGGCTTACAAAAAGCCATGTGCAAAATCCCTGTCTGTCACAGCCATCAAGCAAGAGACTGCAAAAGGTGGGGGGAGAGGGAAACATTACGGAGCATCCTATTTCATGTGCAAGGGCAGGAGCTGAGAGTCTCAATAGGCAGGAGCTGAGTCTCAATGAGCAGAGCAGACCACAAGAGCACAGACTGGAGCTGCAATGTCCTGCGAATAGATGCGAGGTGTGGGAGTGGAGGGTGTTTCAGGTCATTTTGAATAAAGCAATCCTTCCACTTGATAAGTCTTGCTGGGCGAGAGGAAGAGTCGGCATCTCCATTCCTGATTGACAGGGAGAAAATTGAGGGTTCAGGCTTATTAAACAACCTCTAACAGTGATTTATGGGGTCCTGTACATTTTAATCTAACAAAAAAAAAATTAAAATCATCTAATTAGCGAAGTGTGTAATCCTGTATATTAATTGTCTATTAGCCACTTCTTAATTATAATGGAATGCTTATCAAATAGCATGTGATGGCCACGCAGCACCAATTTAAGTCATTATCAGGCTAGCTTCTACTTTAATAAGGATCTGTTCAAATGAAATCTAACCATTTCATTTTATTTTAAAAGCGATAAAGAAGAGGAAGCTAAGATCTTAAAAAATTAGTATCCCATTAGGGTTTGCTAGATACTACCCTATGAACAGTGCTACATGAAAGCAACGTAAAAAATTCATTCAGATGTTAACCCAGATGATTGAACGGCAGAACAAGATGGAAACTTACCAAGGAAGAAAGATGTGTCTCATTTAGAAATACTGGCAAGCTCAGGTAATTCCTGTCTCTTGATTGTTTGACTTTGGAGCCTTAATGTTCAATTGAGCTGTGTTTGTGCATGTGTATTTTCAGAGGTTTTTAAAGAAATTAATTGAGAAAATTTGATTACATACAACCACATTGACCTCTACACGTCACCGGCAGGACTAGTAACATCTCTGCAATTTGAATAAAACAGGGTGCATTTGCAATAGCAATAACAAGAAGTTACCATTTTATACACAAAACCATGCTATAGGGAGATACGTAT